GGTTCTCTGGCGAATTAGCAACATCATCCGTTCTGAGTCAAGATGCTCAGGTGAGCTCTCGGCTGCTGCTACTGGTGCTTACGAGAAGAGGATGATGTTCCGTTCGGGTATTCCATGTTTCCTCAATATCGTATGAGCGTGGCAGATATCAGCCTGATGACGGTAATTGTAGTAGCCTGTGGAGCCTGCGACTAGGACCTACAACCTCCTAGTAGCCCACCAAAAACAGGAGACTGGGCTTTACCGCGAAGTGACTGTGGTGATGATGATGATGATGGTTAGGAGGTGTACTGGTGACGGCCAAGCCGACACTCAAAATCAACGCCAAGATAGCAGCCCGCATGGTCATGTATCTTAGTCGAGGTAGAGTTGATGATGATAACAATAATGGGGGAACTGCAAGATGCCAAGACATCCTGCGACTGTCAATGTGATAATGGGAGGAGTACATGCAGTTGGGAAAGTCAGCTATTTCCTAAAACCCTGAAGTTTGGGTGAGTGCAGCAGGAGGTGTCGTGACCGAACCACCAATTTAAACCATAAACGATATCAATGGAAGTCGACGCGGACCCGAGGCAGAGGCATTGTCAGGTCTATAAGCCCGTACTGATTGCGAGTCGTGCGGAAGGCCACAGGAAGGGCCACAGGACAAGGGACGATTACTAACGGGGTGAGAAATGTGGACCGTGACAGATTATCACGGTCTCGGCCATTATCACTGATAATGGCTATGCACTGAACACCAATTCTGACCAGCCCTCCGTTATCTTATACGATGAACGCTACACTTCGCCGTAACGATTGCCTCTCGTCTGGCGTGGTAAGAACTATCTCTACTACGCCCTGTCTACCGCGTAACCGCCATGTGCGCTAATCTCAAAGCGTCTATTTGACAAACAGTATTTCGTGACTCTACTGATACACCTCAACCCCCACGTTTTCCTCTCATACTAGTCAGCACCAGAATCTTTTCTCGAGCTCTTTCACATTCACTACCCCAGCCTCGAGGATCAGAACTGCTAGGAGAAGATTCAACAAACTTCGGTGTAGGGCCTCTAGCAACCACTCACACACCTTCTCCGTGTTAAGCCGAGTTATAACTCTCTAAACTGAGCCAGATCGCCCCAACAGAGGACACTTTTCAAAACGCAACTCTTCGCTGGAGAAAGCATGCTACTGATTGTTTTATTATCGTGAGCGCAGGGCTAAATTATCCACCCCTCGGCTCAGCCGATTCCTTCTGATTCGTGGGTGCTGCTGCTGCTCTCAGGGCGAGCTGGAGGGTCTCCAGCATGGTCCCATGTAAGGACTTCATCCAATCCTGTTGTTGCTCCAACATCTTGGCGAACTGCGTCTGCTGTCGCTCGAGCATCTCCTGAAGAGCTCACATAATCCTTTCCACCGCAGACCTGTCGTGATGATGAATGCCCACGGTATCAACTACGCGTGTCGATAACAACGAGGAGAATCGGCTGAAATTTTGAGACATTCTTATCGATTTTGTACACTCCTACTCCAAGTCGTGTAAATTCCCATAATATAATGAGGAAAACTCCCAAGGAGTTCAACGCTAGATCACTTCACCTGTTGCTTCTCTTGGAAGGCCAACAAGGCCATGTGAGTCGTGTGTGACATCCGTAATGCAGTCGCCATAGTGCAGTCAACTTCATCCTCATCCCGCCCTAGCCGACCCTCCTCAACCTCCACCCGAGCTCTCTTCCTCCCACTCTGTTGCTCCCTCCGTGTTGACTCCTTTGACGCGTCAACCAAGTCCGCTGTGAAGTCGACATCATCAGGAGCTCCCCGTTTCACAGGCCGACGCTGCTGCCTCCTCTTGGGTGAGAAGTCAGCCACAGTCGAGCCGCTAGCGACCGAACCAACCACACCAGGAATCCCTCCAAAATCCGGTATATTCTCTACCGCCTGTGCCGCTGCAATGACGGCAGAATCACAAGTCGACTCCATAATTCCTCTTATGCAGCTCTCAGTAGTGTCGATCGGTGACGAGGGTTTTGGAGCAGGCACCTCTGGGGGGCCTCGATCATCTTCACCATCAAACACCAGCCACGTAACCCCCCCATCCACACAACGAGGGTACGCCTGTACAACGTCATGGATGCTCCACTCAGCTGGGAGGGACTGCCCATCGTCCACAGTAGGGGGGAGGTGCAAGCACAAACCCTGGGTGACAATTCTGTGCTCATCCCCAACATGGGAGCGCCATCGAGCCAATACTCGCTCTACAATGGATTTCACTGTGGTCTGCGGCGTCATGCGCAACTGCAGTTTAAAGTTGATATCTGCCAGCCGTAAGAGTTGTTCTATCATGTGGGTGCGCGGGGTCAACCGTAAAGTGACGACCTCGGCCTTTTGCGGCGGTGAGGGATCCGAGGGAGCGGCAGTCGAACATGACGACGATGATGATGATGACGATGACGCCAAGCACGCCTCCAACGCCTTGCTCCCCTTCTTCCTCGAAGTTTCCCGAGTTTTTACCATATTACAGATAATTCAAATCTATCGGCCCTCCCACTCTTCCCCTTGCAAACTCAACCCAATATGTATGCCCAACATACGTAGGTAGAAACAGTGTACGTTTTACGCTGCTTCTCAGCGTTTTCCAGCAGCAGCAGCAGCAGCGCCCTTCTTGATAGGCTTCCTAACACCCTTTCCTTTCCCCTTCCCTTTCCCCTTACCCATGGGGGAATGCTTAGAGGCGTTAAAAGAAGAGACGTCACGGCAACTGTCGGCTGAGTTGTTCTTCAACACTCGTTTAGGCCCACCCTGGCCGTATCTATCAACGACCATCACGACAACGACCAAGGGCCTTTTATTACTTCTTGTCCTTAGCAACGCGTTTCTTATTCACTCTTCCCTTGCCACCCTTGCCACCCTTGCCAGCCTTGCCACCCTTCCCTCCCTTGCCGTGACTAGCACCTTCCATCTCAGCCGACCGCTGAGCGCCCTTCTTGGAGACCTTTTCCAAAGTCTTTCCAACACTGGCGGATTCATCTGATACGACAATGCAATTGATCGGCGGTTGTATTGCAATTTCTTCCAAAGGTTCGGTATGGCTTTTGATAAACTATTAGTACCTTCCCCCTTGGCCTCTTTCCACTTCTCGATCTCTGCCAAATTCTCACGTTTCTGAGCAGCACGGGCCTGAGCTGCTGCCACCTGCATCTTCTTCCCAAACCTGGATGCAATCATAAGCCCACTAATGACAAGAATGGACGTAACGAAGCACCGCTCCGCTGTCAGAACAACCGGTTGCTCAGCTTGGAACAGTCAGGAAAGCTCAAGACGACTGGACCCCGGCTGCCCCCCTACTTTTTCTCGGCCTGTTTCCGCTTCCTGTCCTCCACGATTTCAATGCGCTTCTGTTGATCAGCGAGGTTCTCTCGGATCTACACCAATAGAAGTACGGCTGTTTCGATTCAGCCTTTCCGTCCGTACCTTGCCCATCTGTTGATCAGTTTTGAGCATCTCAGCATAGAAGTCGTCAGGGCGGTTTGCCTCGATGCCCATAGCAGCGAACCTCCGGAAAGCCTCTACCACGCTCTCTTGAACTTGACTGTACCTACACTTACCACCCTGTGCTGAGCA